ATGTGTAAAAATATAATATTATTGCTCGTGTATGTATGACCATGGTAAAAAAAAAAAAAATTAATAAAGATTTTTCATGTTCCTGTGAGTTTGATAAATTGCTTTTTTTAATTTCGTTGGCCTTATTTCGGATAAATTGATTCACACTCATACACGTGTACACGAAAAAGGTCTCTATAAAATATATAGGTAAATGTTTCAGTTTTTAGAAAGTTAAGCCTATTAGCGGGTTGCCAAGGATACGCCACGTAGCGAATAATAAGTCTGTTAAAAGTTTCACTTTTGTTCCTCTTCGTACATAAATATAAATCCATTGTTATGACTATTATTATTATTTCAACCAAATCATTTAGAATACCATAACATGGTTGTCGTTTATTTTATGGAAACTGCGAAAATCTAAGTTTCCCGTATTGTTAGTGTACGTTAAGACCGTGTACACTTATAAAGTAAACTTTTTTTCTTGTGTTGGTCTTTATATTCTTTATCTGCTAGTTACCAACAATTTGTGTTAGATTTAGTTTGATTAAACTTACATATTCGAACGATTGAATCGATTTAAAAACAATAAATTGTAACGCACAAATTAATTGGTACAATATCGTTGTGAGACTCGGTTTGTCAAAAATCACTAACAGCATTCTACAACTCTATAACTTCGAATAGCCGAACAAGATTTGAAACGAATAGCCGAGATTTTCCTCGATCTGCATTTCACGTGCATGTGCGTACTACGTACAGACTTCGATTGGATGACCTGCAGCTGTGGCGCGATCGAAATTTCATTGATTCGGAGGGGAGCGAACGGGTACAAACAAGTGTTAATGATTCACACGTTCAAATTCAGTCTGTTACAGTGATTACTATTCACTTTTAATAGCATTGCAAGCTATGTTGATGTGGATCCTAATTATAATTTGTGCGTGTTACACCTATACGTAAGCGATGATCACATGATTTTATGTCGATTCAAAAACTATTATTTTTTCACGGGTATCGCATAATTGATGTGTGGTGGAACCCTCCCCCCCTCCCTTAATAGAATAAGAAAAATGAACTATACCGCACCTGCCATTCGTAATCTCTGAACTCTGCACTCGCGAGTGTTGCAATACCGTCTGACGTGTGCAGTATGAAACGGATGTATAATGTTTAACGATAAAAAAAATTTTTCGATTCTCTTCTGCGGGTTACATATAGTTCAACGGCAACCATACGGGATCGTGCAAGAAAATTTCAAAAGTTGTCACGTTACGATTGAATTCCAGTTGTACATAATCCGATGGCTTCTATATTTTTACAAAGAAAACGAGTAAGTTGTTGAGATGTCTGTAGACATATTACCGTTAAATGTGTACACCTTGTCCATACGATATTATAATATATAACTGTTTTCCAATGGCTTATCGAAAAAAAAAATCAATTCTTAAACACTACGTCTGATATAACATTCATTGGTAACGAATCGTCTGAAAGGTTGTTGAAATCATTTTGAATAAAAAAAAAAAACCTCAAATAAACCGAAATACAACACGGCGTGCAGTGGATCAATGTGTGCGAAAATATTAACGCGAACACGGAAATAAATACTATCAAAAGCCAATGCATATGTTGTAGAGTACTCATGTGGGCACGATAAAATAAAAAAAGAATGCTATGATAATACAAAGAACATATTTGCGGAAGTAATAAAACACAATCAATATTATTTGGGAACTCCGTTTCTCTTATACTTCTTAACATACGCTGCACTTGTATTATTTCCAATTCAAACTTATAATAAGTTTTTCCACGTGATAAAACAGTGAAAAAAAGTTTTGTACAGTTAGTTACGACGTCTTGAAAATTGTCGATGAAATCGATCGATTGCAAGTCAGACAGAGTTATAAAACTCGTTTCGAGAAATGTAAAGGTAGACGTGGACGCTTAAATGAAATCGGATGGTATATTCATGCCAAAAACGTTTCAAGAAAAATATCAATCAGCCGATTGTCATTAATGAATTGAACAAAAACGTACTAAACACTTTATAAGTTAATCTATATCTACCAATTCAGGAAGGTGGAGTTTTATACACGTGTAAAGTATATCTTAAAACCGTTTATTAATACGTAAAAATCAATGACTTATGGATTGGAACAGCGTTCTAAGTTTAATTAAAATCTCGTGTAATAAAGTAATACGTATTTCATCGAGACGACTTGTGAACCGAGTGTTATGTTTCACAACACCAGTTCCGTAAGTGAACGCCGTATAGTCGATAATTGCAATTTATTTCGGCGAAAACTAAATCATCCGGTTATGTTCGTATATTTGGGAATTCGTTCGACCAAAATTTAGTGATGATACGAGAAAACAACTAGTGAAAACAGTGTACAATATAGCCTAACGATATTATACGATTGGGTCGGACGAAAAAATAAAAATAAATAAAGAATAATTGACGTTTAGCAAATCCACTGCATGACAATACTTTAATCCCATGGTCAATGCGAACCAATGCATTATTTTTTTATTTATATTCCGTTCAGATTTATAAGCTCTTTGGAAATAGTTATTTATTGAATTCGCGCTCGACGCCAACATCAAAATAACGGTGCGTAATAGCCAAAAAATCGTGTGTAGTTTTTAATCTCTACTTGAAATATATTTCATTCACAATAGAAAAACACTGGTTGTTACTCTGTAACACACGTCATAGTGATGGCATTTTAAAAAACTCATATTTTCCGCTAAATAACGGCAATAAATGTACACGTGTCATAACATAATAATGCCTTGTTTGACATGTTCACTCGGATTCAACGGGCCCACGTTTGAATAAAGTTTGGATGAATGGTTTGTGACGCGCGCAGTGGTGGTAATCCGTATTTATCTCGAAAACCGAATCACACGCGGATTATGTACGGTGAACTTTTTGCATCCGAATTGACATTCAGAGCACTCCTCACCGGTATGTAGATTTGACGACCAGACGTAAAACGTATATATAAAGGTACAATACGATTGTAACCGGGTGTCTACGGTTTGACAGTTTTCACAACATTTTATTCTGCAAAATAATAATTCAAACGCTCTCTTTGCGTTACAATAGTAAAATTATTGTGAAACATAATTTGAATTCGATGTGGATGGATAGGTTTTTGGGTTGTAATAAAATATTTCTGAGCTACAATACGTATTGGTTCAAAATACAAATGAGATCTTTATTTTAAAATTATAAAACACAACGTATCTAAGTACCTATAAATAATACATTGTAAATAAATCGGAAAATAATTATTACTATAATCATAATATAGTTATTATGTAAATCGTTATAATATGGCTTTTTATGGTTAACACTACGCAACAATAATATGATGATGATATGGTCGACAAAGGAAGGTAAGGATGTAGGAAACAATGCGGATTTTCACTTAGAGTGTTATATTTCGCGTGCTCAAATGCACGCAAAATGTATGTTATCTCTATATAATTTAATATACAATATATTATAATAACACATTTTTTTTTCTTCATAATATATCCATAAAATTATTATAGATATGTGCACACGTAATTTATATATATATATATTTAATACATATGTTTAAAAAAAAAAAAAAAAAAAAAGGTATATAATATGTAAAAAACATTATTTTGATAGTAAAAAAAACCTATAAGTATACAAAAAATTGTACGAAAATAATGGATAAAAGCCCAAATTTTATAAAATCAAAACATTGTAGCACCAAGGGTAATAACAGTCCATTGAAGGGAATATTAAAAATAAAATGGACGATAGAAAATGAGTCGGCGGAATCGTGGTCACATATATATAATTATATATTATATCATACATACGACCTATTTATAATAAATAAATAAATACGTACAAAACGTAGGGATATAAATATTAAAACGATATTATAGCCCATGAAAAACCGTGAGGGCGACGATATATCTTTGACGAATTGACAGAAATTGATAAAATACATGTCAATCGAATATACGATTATTAACCGTACGTAAATTTTCTTCTTCTACATATCATAGTCTTATTACGCGTTGCACGAAATCTAATATGTAATGTCATCATTTTAATAATACCCATTAATTGTTTGAATATAATATTAAATCATAACACAAAGATAATATTTCACGTATACATTACTAATTACGATCATACATAATCCCTGACAATAATAGATATATTCGTGATCAGTATTTATCATAGCTGTATAGATAACCCAGGTATTATCAATGTGTTTCATTAGCCTATTTTTTGTATGGTTTAACCAAGGGATCGATAGGGATTTTTTTTCACATTTCTATCCGTAATATGGTTACATTGGCACAAGAACTAAATAATTTCAGAATTTTCCATTAAAAAAAAAATTAAATTAAATTAAAAACAAACTTTAAATCCATATTACATTGGAAATTTTGCAATTCATCAGTAATAATATCCGTGATAAATATTCGAACAATTTGCAATATTATAACAATAAAAATACAGGATAGACAGATATAACTGTAAGTCCCCGGAGGATATTTTTATAATGTTGTGTAACTCGCATATAACAATAAACATCCCATTTCCCTGTAATATTATTGTTTATACGAACATGCACGGCATGAGTGTAATTTTTGTGGCGGAATAGGACGGCGTCGTTATATTTATACTGCATCTAAAATAATACATTATTGTAATATTTACGAAAACAAAACTATTTCTCTCTCATTCTACCATAAATATATATATAAATATAAATTATATTAGATTGATATAATATACATATACGTATGCAGTCTATCGGGTAATAAATATATATATATATATATAATAATAAAGAGAAAATTAATTAATAGTCACAGACGGTAAGCTCAATGTGACAATGATATTCATATATAGATCTCGGTCGGACGTATGTACTATACAGGTATATTATTATATACGTAACGATAATATTATAATAGTTTACTATAACTAATTACAATACAATATGTAAATATATAATAAATTAGTGATAGTGAACAATGATAATAGTAAATTGTAAATCGCGAGTAAAACACACACACACACACACAAATAAATACTCGCAGAAACATAGAAATCGCATACGGACTAGATAGTTCCTTTCCACCACCACATTATCTCACTGCTGTCCGCTGGTTGTGGCGTTAAGGGATGGAAAAGGTTACTGAATGGCAACGAAATAATTTCTCCCCATGAAGGTATAGAAACAATGCAAGAAGATCACGCACCGCAACGGGTGAGCCACGAGCAGTTGTACAAAACAATCGTAAAAAGTGTACAAAAATAAAAAAATTTAAACCTCTCGTCCGGGTCGGTGCGCGGATTTTAAGAACGGATCGTCGTTTACATTACTGCCTGTACGACTGTTGCTGCTGTTGCTGCTGGAACAACCTGACGCCGTTGTGGTGCGTTGGTATGGTCGAGTGATTCCGAGACCGGACGGCCGCGATCGCGGCTGCCGTGGTGCCGCCGTTCGACGACGACCACTGCAACCGCGAGTGCTGCTGGTACCCGTTGCTGTCGTGCTGGTACTGCTTCTGGTTCTGATACTGGTGCGAATAATGCGCTTTGTTGTTGACGAGCTGCTGCTGATGGTGGTGCTGTTGCTGATGGTGCTGCGGAGGCGTCGGTGGCTGTTGCACGTTGTGTGGCATCGTCCTCCAGCCCGGCACCGAGCCGGGCCGGTTGCGCGCGCCTCGCGGTTCCGTGAACGAGCTCAGCGACACGTTCGTCGGTCGCGTGCATGGGTCCGGCGGCATCCGGGCTTTGGCCCCAGGACCACCTTTATGCCGGATCACCACCGTATCCACGGACAGGTCCGCATAGCTGGCCCGTCGTCTTTGCTCGTCCGTCGGCGACGGCGTGGACGTGGCCGACGGCAGTTGAAGCGGTGGCGGCGGCGGTGGCAATGGCATCGTGGCCGCCGTCTCCTGGCTACTATTCGAGTGCACACCGCTGGAGGACTCGCTGTGGCCACTGCATACGGCCTGCGGCGAATGGCCGGCCACGGACGCTTCGGATTCGGACTTGACCGCGTCCTCCTCAAAGTCATCTGTGGCCGTCACGGACGCAGAACCGCCGCCATTGAGCGCCGAGCTGCCCGTCATCATCGTCGTCAACCCAGTCGCCCTGTATACACCGTGATACGGGTCTTGTTGCTTACATACCTGTAACCGAACACGTACGGCAAAACCGTCAGCAATTACAAAAATCTGTTAGCGATCGGGGGGGGGGGGGGGGGGCGATTTCGTGGTGTATATTATATCCGTATAAACGGTTTTATGTTTGTAAACTTTGTGTTACCGATAGGTTTTGTAAAATTACTACTTTCAGATTTTCGGTTAGGGTGTGAACCGCTGGTCTCCCATGTCCACGTTCACTCGTGGATTTGAACTTTTTCTTCGCTACAAAATGTATTCTTTAATTTTTTTCTTTTTAGTTTCTTCGTATTGTCACCTTGTCGCCGCAGAAGCGCATTGCATTTAATTAAATGACAAACTTTCGGCTTACGCGATAGTAGCGGGCTAACAGTGGCATTCGCACAGTAGAAGTGTGGGTATACACGGAAGAGTTGGGGGATGCTTGTATCCGCCACTGAAAGTTTTGAAACGCTTTTACAAAAATTAACTTCGTTGTTTTATTTGCAAGTAGTCAGCGGAATGTTTATAAGGAATTTATCTGTTCGCCCAAGTGCGAGTTCAAATACAACTACGTGGCCAAACATAGTATGCAACACCAATGCAAAACTTTTAACAACTTTTCATAGAATCATCTGTATTTAAATGAACTACGGGCAGTATGCATTGATAAAATAATGAATTTAATTTCTAACGCTCCTTATAACACGTTAAACACGTTTAATTAAAAGTAAGCTTTGACGACGTGTAAAATGATGGCTTAATTATTTTTCTGGATTTGTAAATGAAAAAGCAATTTTATAACGATATTATTATAGGAACCAGGGAGAGAAATAAAAACTATATAATGAATGTTTATGAAAATAATTTTATTACACCCGAAGGAGCCCATTTTTTCAAGCAAAACTACCCTTTTATTTTGAAAAATATTTAGTTTTTTCAATCTGTTTAACGTGAAATTTACCACGGGCCTTACAACCCTTTATAAAGTAACATTTTAACGCAGTACAGATTTAACTAAACAAATTTGGATTCCCCTAATTTTGTGGAATTCAAAGGAAATTAACATGGTTATAATGTTATTTCAATCAATATTTGTTAAACAACTATAAATTAATATTAGATAGTGTTGATTTCATTACGGTTGCCGCCGAAGTAATAGAGGGCAAACATATCCTGAATACGCTATAATAACTGAAAACGTGATAAAACTACAGAATGTATAGCAACTATACACATATAAATAATTTTAATATAACATTGCCGGTAAAAATGTACTTGTTATGAATGATTGAGAAAGAAAAATGTCTGATAATGTTTTAAATATTAAAATGAATAAAATGTTGGATCCAAATTTTTACTAGATAAAATGATTATCTTTAAAAATGTATGATTTCAATAAATTTATATTTAATTAAATATAGTTTAACTCAGAGATAGTACAATAGTTAGCATAAAGTTTACGAGGGAACTTAAATTTCGTGTTTTCTCAGACCAAATCAAAAATGTTGGAAAAAAATTGCTTTTAGCAAATTGGCTTTTTAACTGATAGCCAACGAATCATTTTTTAGCAGAGATACGATAAAAACATGAACAATTAAAATCGTATCACTTTTTGTGATCTCTCATGAGATAGTCTACGTGTAATATTTACTTGATTTTTGCTCTTATGGAATTCTGCAGCTGAACTAATGTCTTCCACGGGTGGTGGTGGAGGTGGTGGTGTGGCTGGTGAGTAAAACAGTTCTCTTGTATTGGCACTCGCATACGTTATCACGCCTTCTCGGACCGTTTCCAATAGCTGCACAACAAAAACCATCAAATACATTATTTATGTCTCCTTTGATATACGTGTGTAGGGGGTTTAAAAAAGTATTAAAAAAAAAAAAACATCACTAAATATGCCACTAATTAATATCGGTCGACTAAGATACCATAATTTATTTTTATAGCGGAATGTATTGAACTTTTGAACAACACACAGATGATTTTTTTTGCGATTAGCCTTATCAATCCTTTTTTGCAAATTTTAAATATTATACATCATTTTTTTAAGAAGGAATCTTCTTATAATTCATTTCGAATTATCTAATCAAAATGTAACGTTATAAAAAAAAAATCGCATGTAAGATTTGTTCAACAACACATTTTTTTAATTCCTTCGTTTCTTTTTAAATACCATAGCGAATTTGATGTTATGCTATTATTTATTTTTAGCCTATAATTAATTTAATAATTCATGACAATTTTTTGATATTTAAAACATAATAAAATGGTAAGTATGACACTTATTTTTATATCACATAATTCTTATCTACTAATCTGAGACTAAATTCTTGTTCACGTTTTAAAGCTCACTTCTATTCAAGACGTAAACTGATCCCATCCGCATTTTTAAAATACTACAATACCATTCACATTACGAGAAAATTAAATTAATTGCACTTGCCTTCGTGTCCTCAGACGTGTTGTCATCGCTGTGGTCGTTTGCCGCTCTGGTGACCATTGGCAATTCACGCAGTTTCGCATAATCTCCATCGTCCTCGGGGCTTACTCCCCTCCGGTCAACTTTTTGCATAGGAATGCCTCTGTGGGAAAAAAATCATTACTTTATAATCATACCTACATGATTGCGTATTGTGTTTCGAATTCGATTTGTCCGTTCCATTATTCGTGGTAATACAACTCGTATGTACACTGTACATTAAATTATATTTTGTACCAACAATCGATTCACCAGTGGGTGGGAGTAATTTGGGATGACTATAACTTATGAGATAAACACTTCTTTTTCGTTTCGTTTTTTTTTTTTTTTTTTTTTTTTATTTACTGAGCAACACTATCAAACTACAAAAATTATAATTACAACTCTTCGTTAAGTTTTTTCATGATACATTGTTTTCTCGAATGTCATATTCATTGTTGAATCACATTGAAATTAATATCAGACGTAGGCGCAGTCAGAATGACTCAGATTTCATTGGACTAGACAATAAGTGTAACTATTTCTCAGTTGATAAATTCTAATGAATATGTCTTACAAGTCGGCTACCACTGGACAATATTTATTATTAGACATTATGTTAGAATAATATTTTATGTATAATAACGACAATATACTTTTGAAAAAACTGTTGTATATATGATGCATCATATATGTTACGGTAAATAGTATTGAAAGACTAAATGTCTTAACGTTTTACAAATCATTGACCTATTCTAAGTTATACTTGAAAAAACTATAGGTCACGTGCCACAAATATTTATTGTGATTAACATAAAAGTTACTTACTTTGTGGACTTTTTAGTTCGTCTGCAACTAAAACAACCAGACGGTTCGTCTGATTCATCCATTTCGCTCAAACAACTGCGCCCAGAACTAGACTTTGGTCGCGGCCAGTATATTTGTTCGTCACTCATCGTTTTAGGTGTTCGTTTTGACTTGTGCTTATCTGAAATAAGAATGATAATCATATTATACCAACGATCCAAAGAACATGTTGTTGATGAATTATGCGTTGAACGACTCTCACTGTAATTCACTCGAGTATAATCGGTCACTACTCTTTCCACTACAGAGGTCACGATTCTTTTAGCGGTTTTTTCAGTCAACGAGTACGTTGCGCCTTGAGCCACCACCAGCATGGGAACTCGTTGGTCTTCATTGCCGTCATCGGACATACCCAACGAGTCGTATTCTAGGAACAGGTGAAGGTTGAACTTCCAGCAAGGCTTTAAAGTCAACACGGACCACATGGCTATCCACACGAACACGTGCGCGGTGGAGTTCAACAAGCACACCAAGACCACACCGTTTAAGGACGATCGGAAAACAACGATCGCATTGTACAACAAGGGGCTTTCGGATGCTATGACGGCGAGTAACGTCAAAACGCTGGCGCAGTACGGCATCAGACTAGAGTAGGCATCGGTGATCGTCTTATGACCACCGGTCTGACGTTTCACAAAGGTGTTGAAACGCGAATACCCGTAATAGTAGATGATCGAGTTGGACACGAATATCAAGACCGTGGTAATGGTAAATAAGACCGCGGTATCTAAATAGTCCAACACTAGATGATAAGTGTTAGTCCCGGCCGGCAACTCCTTCACCATTTTGCTGACGCCCAATACTTGCATCTATACACACACACACACACACACACACACACACACACATGCACGCACGCATACACATTTCAACGGTAAAACGTGAATTTGCTGTAGAGAAGAGTGTAATATAAAATGTTACCTTGTACAGAACACATGTGAAAAGATATAGGGATAAGCACTGTATGGCGTTGGCAAATAGCTGGACAGAAAAGAGTGTGGCGAAACACTTATTGGTTTCCCAGAATACGGATGCGTAACGACCGCAATAAATGAACAGAGCCATGGCGTAGTTTAAAAATTCAATGGACATTGTACCATCTGTATCCGCACCATCTGTAAATTATTTTAAACATATAATAATCAATAATGGAAATTTGATTTATCATTTTTTTGACAATATTGAATGTGATCGTGGTTCCATAAGTTCCGAGTGTGTGTAATTGTTTAGTATAATTAACACCGATATTGATTGATACAAAAAAAATATTATGATACAACGGTTTTTATTCAACTCAAGATTTATCAATAAGTGTTAACAATACATATTTATTTAAATTTTATTAAATAATCTTGTTGCAGTAAAAAAGTTTATGACAAAAAAAAAACTTGATAGCATTAATATTTAGACAAACAGTGGAAGTTTGGAAACTAAAACCGTATACAGTATAATTCACACATATCAGCATAAAGGCAGAGTAAAAAAAACAAATTTAATTTAATTAAAGAATAATTCTATGTACTTAACTAACACGTAGGTTGGTCTGCCAATCTTAATATTTAATTGTTCGATGTTAATATATCTGATCCCGACGGCAAATGTATTCTTTTACATTTTCTAGACAGTTTATATTTAATTTTTAATACGTTTTACAAAAGGTTTTATATATTAATTGATTTAGATCTTATTTAGTATTTATTTTACTATTATTATGACTGTAATCTTACAGTTATAGTATAAATATATTTAAAAAGTTGAAAATACAATTGTATATATTCTAAATAATATGCCACAACGAAATTATTATTTTTTGCGGTAAATATTTCATTTACATTAAAAACTAAAGCTAAATTATCACAAAATTATAACATTTTATAACAACATCACAATTAATTATTATTAAATGATTGAAAAAGTTATTAGTTTGTAATAAATTTGAAAATTTTTCGTTTTGTTTAAAGAATTACAACATTTTCTTTGTATTGAAAAAATAATGAAATAAGATAAATTACTTACAGGATCTATTGGTTGATGGCGATGATGACTGAGGAACAAGAACCGACTGTGTTTTAGGTTCGATGTGCAATTTCAGGGTTGAGTTGGATGAACCTGACTGATGTCCACTAATAACCAGAAAATCCAAGTCGGTTTTCCAAATATTATCTAAAACGCGTGCGAAAATCGTTAGTTAGATTACTCATTGTTTAATGCTTAACGGAGTTTTTCAAAAGACAATCATGCATAAAGAAATTTGTAAAAACGTAAACGTCATTATTAATAAGAAATTGATAATGCTATATGAGAAATATCAAAGGTTTAAAAGCAAACATGCTAAAATTTGTTTTAAAGTTAAAAATATTTTTTGAGGATGGCAGTAATAGGATAACATTGTAATAATAGTTTAAATGTTAATTGCTTTAAATTAACTCGTAGAGCAGCTAATTATTCGATCTGAATCAAACGTTAAAACCTTAATTTTTATGACATTCTGTGAACTTGTATTTATGATACTATAAGAAATTATAAATTATCTAAAAATAAATTTGTATATTTAGTTTATAACGTATTGTTTCTTTATTAAAAGTGTATATACATGCTCGCTTATAAATTTGATAATTTAAAATTAATTTTACTAATTTTTAATTGGTTTTTTTCTATAATGTAACTTTAATAAATACTATGTAATTATCAATCACGTAGTACGAAACATATTTTAATACAAAAATAGTATATAAAAAATATATTGGTCTACGAGCAGTGAAGTTACATGCCTAAGTTGCAATAAAATTAACAAATAATTATTATTAGCATCATGTTATCATATTACATAAATATAAATATAATAAATTACTTAGTACTGATCTACAATATCCAAAATTATTTGTATGAACATATTTCTTACTCTGTAAAATGAATTGATCACAAATAACCAACAAATACGACTAATTATAGATGTAATAACTAATTCATGTCATCAGTTTGTAGTGATCAAAAATATTAAACCAAAAGTATATTTAATATATGGCTCTACAGTAAACGTTAATATTCATTATCCGAAATCGACAATTATTATTAACGTTACTATTATGGGTTAATACTCTTTTAGCTTATTTACACAATAGAGTTATGAGTGTATACTATTTATATACACTGTATATAGTCTATAGGTGACCTTACACTATATAGGAGTATGAATATTCTATGAGAGATCATTATCTGGTTGGGTGTATGTAGAGTCTATGTATGTATTTATTTTTGAATTTTTACTTAATATTTACCAACATTTAAAAAAAAAAAAAAAGAAAGAGTATCTACGCTATGCAAGAAGGTGTGTTCGTTTTCGACCAAGACCATACCCTTCCCTTTTCGGCTGATTCACTTTTCGACCAAAATCGTACCCTTCCCCTTTCGGCCGATTCATTTTTTGATGAAATTTAAAATAGGCGAATTCCCTTTTCGACTAAAACAAAAATTCATTTAATAAATTTAAAATAATAAAATAACGATATACAATGTTTCATTATGATGGAAACTACTATATTATATTAATGACGACGGGGTTTTAATCACGTAGCGAGGTTTTAGGTTCACATACAGAGCATAATCCCATTTGCAACAGTATCAAGGTTTATACAAAAACTAGGTTAGGCTTGAACTATAATTCCCCCTAGGGCGAAGCCCCATTCCTCCGAAAAGTGCCACGCAGTGGCACTTGAGTTTGTGAGTGGAGCCGGTAGGCGTAACAAGCGAAGTCCTAACATTTTTAAAATTAAAGTTCCGATTTTTTTAAAAAAAAAATGCAAACAATTTTCACTACGACAAGAGATAAACACTAGATACAAAATATCATTATCTTTTATATTAATATCTTAATAATTATTGACAAAAATTGTACATCATTATTTCATTATTTTAAATTTATTATATACATTTTTGTTTTGGTCGAAAAGGGAATCGGCCAAAAAGCGAAGGGTACGTTTTTGGTCGAAAATGGCCATACCCTTAAAAAGATACATTGACTCGTGAATTTAACACACAACAAAGAAGAGTAAAATTAACCATTTCCTTAAGAATAATTTGGGTTTTTTTTTTAGTAAATTCATAAAATATAAATAAAAAAATATAGTAAAAATGAATGAAATAACTGCATGCCAGAAATTTACGCCATCAACGACAATAACGAGTGTAACATCTAGAGTAACGTATTAGACAGTATGTTAGCATGAATAAAGATACTAATAGAAGACATTTAGGGAACCAAAATCTCCCTCCCCTGTATCACTGATAAGTTCCTCTACTAAATACAATCATATCTTAAATAACATCAACGTTGATGATATATTGTTGGTGTATATGTGCTAACGGAGCGGTTTATTATTTTAAAAAAAAGAACATACAATCAAATAATATTATGAATCCATCGATAAATGATATTCATATCAAAAATTAACTTATTGCCTTCAAACACATTACCAAGTATCCAAATACTTGTACGCTTTGAAAAATTCGAAACATGTTGCAAAAACGTGCGTTTGAAATGTTTATACATACTAGCATATAAACATTAGGATTATTAACATGGTTTTAAAAACGACTTGTACGAATGCGTATTAAAATAATAAAATGATAATTATAACCGAAGCGATGCTACTAAGCTTATCTCTGTTGAACAGGGGAAGGAAAGAATAGGTAATCTAGGAATAGGTAGGACATTATTAGTACACAGGAGAATTGTAGAGTACCCCGTGTCATAATGCTTACCTGTGGACATGAGACCGACTTGCACAAGTCTAGCTTCGATCATGAGCTTGACGACAAGCAGGGCTAGTGCGGTGAACGAGTGCAGCGTGGACGAAGACGGCGGACCGTGCGTCCAGCACGATGACAGCCGACGACGGCGGACATCCAACAGGTTGCCCAGCTTGTCCGAGTCGTTGGCCATGTTTCCTGTGCGGAAGGCCGCGGTAAATGCTACCAACGGCACAAGGATCGCGGCCATTCCGATGGTGGCCACGAAACAGTGCACTTCGTATCGGGGCGGCAGTACGCTCTTCGGCGGCCATACTACTTCTAAGTATTCTGAAAAAGATAATAGCCCGACGATGGTGAATAAGGTAGTGAAGTCATTGTATTAAATCGATTTTTGTAGATTCTTGAATTCCTAGGCTATTTATACCTACAAATGCATTACCTAAGTGTGTTTCGTTTGATTGTTAACGTAAATAAGATTTTTTTTTTTATTGCAATAAATTACAAATTTGGCGATTTATTTATTTTTTAGTGAAATTTCAACGATTTTTTATAATTTCTGTAATATTTTGAAAATACTTTTCTTGATTTCATTACTTATAATGCAGAATATGAATGCATTTAATTTTGTTGTATTTAAATGTTTTCCAAGCAATTTTTAAGACTATAATGGATATCTGTATATTATACATCTGAGAATTAAGTTTTTTTTCATAAATAATATAATTTTATGTGGACTGAGCACTGGTGAAGGATTAGAGTGGTCTATAATAATAAGTATTACATCGTAAACTTAACAAGAATGTCTTCATATGCTTTACAACATATTAGTTTCGAAAACTTTCATATAAACTTTTCCAAGTAAAGTGATTATTCGGTTTATTTACAGGTATGCTTTTCATTAAATTTTAGATTTCAAACAATGATATATAAATGTACCGGAATTTTCAAAATGTCTGTTTCAAGGGCTTTCTTTTATTCAAAACAATATTCACTAATAATCATAATTTTCAATCATTAATATTCAATATGCGTATATGAATTTTTGTATTTTTTATGGGTTCTTAAGTAAATTTTTCAAAACATAATTTTATGAAAGTGTTATCAATTTGTGTCGTGATTTTGTTATAGAAATTTTATAGAATAGGTACAGACAATAATTATGAGGATAACTATAAATGTTGAATAATTTAAAAAAAAACACATGGGTTTTCTTGGTAAATTAATGTTAATAAACTGTATTTGTATACTGTGTAAGTCTAATATATCTATAAGTATAAAACAATCTTGCAGAAAACATATTATTACTCAGTACTAGAGTATTATTTTTGCTATATATCAGACAATATAATCATTTGTTTCAAAGGCGCTCTCCTCGCTCGCTACAGTATCCGATTATATTAAATTGTCAAATCAAAAACTTATTACATCGTCCTAAATGCAATATATATATATATATTAATATACAGTATATACTATCATTCTTGCGTATATCACGATTGTTCTTACTCATAAAACATACTGCATCGTATTTAAGAATAGTTATCTGTAATCTGATATTATATTTTTCATGTACTGTTCAAACAACAGGACATAATATGGAAAAAGATAATTGTTTTTTTTTATTTTTCGTCTTAGTAGGAGGTATGAAATAAAAATGACCTCGTCATTGTTCATTATTGATTTTATGAATACTGTGCTTAAATTGATTTATTAATAAAATATTCTGTTATTAAACAATGTAATATAATATAGTTCATGCACTGTAAATTATAAAATAAAACAACATACATATATTTATATGGAATAAATAGACGCAATCCATACAGTTTTTTTTAAACTATGTACAAAAATAATCACCTTAAAATATTTATAAAGATATGATGAATTTCCGAACAAATATGTTTGGAACGAGAATGAACATATCATTTTTGATTTTTCTCGCAAAAAAAAAAAAAAAGAAAAAAGAAAAAGAAAACAATTACTTAGCATCTATATTTTATAAGCCATTTTAACACTAGTCGTAATTACGCTACAAGCTTATTTGTACTTGAACAGTATAAACAAATATTATATCAAAGTTTCATTAAAATTTAACTTATACTGCATAAATTAAATAAAAACATATTAATACCAACAAAACCATATAGGTATGCTAAAAATAATATTAATAATTTATTCGGAGTCAGCTAAAATACATTTATTTATGTCTTTAAAATTACCTATATAATTAGGTACCTAAAATATATTGGAATATATTTTTCGTATTAATGTTTGTGTTTTTAATTTGATTCCAAAATAAAAGATTTTATAAAAATGTTGGGTACTACTACAATCAATGTTTGAGCATTTAAACTTTTAAAGTTAAATGGTTTTAAAAGCCAATTGAATTATAATTGAATCAAGGGATTCAACGATAAGATATAATTAAATGAGAAATCTGGTTTTAATTTTATTTGAAAGTTAATTAACTGTAGAGATTCAATTATTATTATTAATTCGCCCATAACAAAATTAAACAAACGTATATGGTGAATGGTATTTCATCATTACTAATTAAATCTTATATTGATGGTAGAATTCAATGTAATCTATCTATGTTTATTAAAAAATAAAATAAGTTTCTGAAAAATATCAGACGAAGTGTATTAAGTACAATGAAAATATGTCACCACAGTACCACGGTAGTTTGGAAATTAACCTTGTATAAAAACAAACCCTTCTGGTTAAACTCTAATTAACCAAAAGAAATGACAATTCGGAGGTAATCAATTTAATCAGTTAAGCATTTGAAAAAAGAGGTTCTCAAAAAGAAGATAATTTATATTATTTGTAATGAACTTTCTTTGATGTAATACTTCAGTATTCTATTATGATTGAAATACAATACTCGTCCGTTGATCAGCTCTGCTTACTATTTATTTACGTTTTATTTAATATTTATCGTATATAAAATTTTTATTAACAACAATAATTGCTGTTGATTTATATGCAACATAAATTTGATTTTATCGAAAGAATTTATTCCTTGTATTTTGTAAGTTCATAATTTTTCTCATATGGTTTTAATAAATTCAATGTTGATTTGCCATCTTGAATAAACTTGATATTGTTATTATTATTATTATTATTATTTTGTTCATATATTTCAATTAATATTAATTTAAAAATTGTTAAATTTCTCTTGATTTTAGGAATCAAAAACTAAATGTTACGATTTTATTGACTTTGTACAATACACATTTTTACCTAACGATAAATTTTTAATTCGAAACTGATCATACTTTACAAATATAATAATACTCCAAGCTAAGCATTTATCTACTTGTTTATATATAAAATATTTTTTTAATTTATTTCTATGTATATTATATGTTTTCGTTCTTACCTTTAAAATCATAATAAACTTATAGAACACAAATTGTGTGTATGGAAACTGTTCTTATTTTAAATTAATTATGGTTTTGACCACTATGATTCACATCATATATAATATAATATTTATATTCATTATCACATATATATTGTGCATAGTTCATACCTCCTCAAGAAAAAAATTAATAAATAAATAAATAAATACAATAAAACCAGCAAAGTCACTACATTTTAAAATTGTAATCAAATAATGTTTTCAGTTGTATAAGTTCTTGTGAAATAACTTATCCGTCAATAATTCTTAATAAATGTTGAATAATTTGAAATAATTTTGGTACATATTTTAAGTTTTATATATAATATGTAATATATATAATATAAATATATCAAACAAACTCAAATAAAAAATAATGAAATTATAAATATATACATTTTCAAAAACATTTTAAAGATTTCAATGAATATATAATCATTCAATATACCGTTTCAATAAACTAATTAATTACGTAGCGTTTTTTAAAAATATGAACTCAACTAATGTATGGAAATACAATAACAATATTATTGTGATTTTTATTACACATATTTATTGGTAAAGTATAGATAGACATTTTAGTTTGAATATCTAATAAAATATAAGTACAATAATTGCTTGTACAGATCAACCATAATAATGTTTCATAACTTGAACAGATTATATATTGCATTAAAAATAATAATAATATCCTATTTCAAGTTAACAAGTGTAAATAATATTTTTTTTTGTTTGTAAATAATAATAGATACTGCTCCGCAAAGTATGCGGTGTGTATGTATACATGCCATTATTTGAAATAGTAAAGTATTAAGTTTCATGTTCAGCAATCGGTTTTGTAAATAACTTTCTGAAATTAATCCGACAAGGCTCGTACAATTTAAATGGATTTATAATATACAACAATCTATTGGACTTGAGTCATATACAACGCTTACCTATTGTGCGAAAGTAAACGACGCCGAGGCTGATAATAAAATAAGAAATGTACTGCAGTAGGTAAATGAGTTTTTTTTTTTTTTTTGCAAAAGCCTTGAGGATTCAAATGAAATGCTAGAACAAATGATGCTTCGGTTATTAATGGATTTTCTCGGAACACTTTACCGTGTATTAATTCTCGATTACGGACGACGACAACAAAAACACGCCGAAAATAAACTTGTGCACGACGATAAACGACACGTCTCAAACAGAATTACGGACAAGTCAAGTGCGGCGTTTGGGTTTAATACTGGTTCGAGAATCTTGGAACAGACATCGGTCGTATTATACAGTGCACCACTGTAACCCTGATTAGCAGCGAGAATGGATAGCCGACTCGCGTCAATCCCGTTTAACCAATAATATCTTAATCTTTGTCAGATAAATATAAATTACACTTAAAATATTCAAACCCTTTATTTTTCTCACTGCGGATCACTACTACTTATTTCCACCGACATTTTCATTGTTTCAATTGTTTTGGTTTCAAAGCTTTCCTTTCTTTATATATATACGTATTTGCGATGTTTACATTTAATGCACAATACTTCTCAGGCAATTCTTCCCAAAATCACTTTCTATTGGTCAAATTCATATTTCCCGGCACCCTTGTTTTTCTCCGCCATCATTACACCGTTGAAATAAAAAAATTGTTTAATTTTTTATTCATAACTTTCGTATTATCACCCCTTAGCCTTCATATTATATATTATGCCCGTCACGTACAAGTATAAAATATATTATGGTTACGTCAAAATTAATCTTATTTAATTTTTTATCTGGCATATTATGTATAGTATATATGTGCGCAAATTGCGCGCAGACATCATCGTCAATCGACACTGTTTAAGAGCAAACAAATCCAAAATGCACTGTTTATTCGCATTCAACAGTTGGATAATCAAAACAAATTGTTTTGTTGAAATCATTTTTTATAGCTGGAAAATTATAAAACGATAAAAGAAAACGATAGTATAAAGAAATATTAATGAATCACTTTCCCCTTGCTTTATTTCATTTACAATGAAAATATAATATATCCAGACGCGTATTACATTTATATATATAAAATATATTACCAGAAATATTCTTGAATATATAAAAGGATATAAAACATCACCCGTGGTATGATTCAAAGATATATGTTATGGTTTAGAAACATCTCCATTTTCTATATTGTATACCTACATGCAGTGTTAAGCGTAATCGATTAATTTATGTAATCGATTACGATTAGTTGACTATATTAGTTATTAATTATTTAATCATTTTTTAATGTAATCAGTAATCATGATTACATTTTTGTAATCTGTAAACAGTTGCATTTTGTTGTTTTTCGTTGCATTCTGATTCGTATACGGTATACCTACGTTCTACTTATTATATTACAATGAATGACAACGAAGCAAATCCTGTATCAGAAAACAATAGAAATTCATCATCTCTAGATTCACCATATAACCACCACTTCGACGATCAATTGATGGTAATTTTTTTACATTTTTACTTGAAAAATCATGTATATCTGAAAGTATAAGGGTGGTTCAATATGTAAAATATGAGCCAAAAATAGTAGAACTGAAAGGTTATAGAAATTTGTCTTCTAATTTTGTTATACATATAATACGTCGTTATGGCCTTGATGCAGCAGAAGAATATAAAAATAATTTGAGATTAATTAGATCACCAAATAAAAAAATTAAAACTTTTGTTAAACCATTAGAAATTAAAACAACACAAGAAGACTTTAAAAGTAAATTCTGAACATTTTATTTTCAATGGTTCCTTTGAGATTTGTAGAAACCCCATATTTTAAGAAGAAAAATTGAAGCTTTAACAAAACCAGAACGTATCTGGGTATAAAGAAAATCTATAATCGACGCATTCTTACAAAGTATTGAGAAAAGATATTGAAAATTATTTTGATTTTTCTTCTCCTGAATCTCTTAATGCTTCGTTAACAACATTCTCATATCCGCGTTTTAAAAAACGTTAGTTGATAAGTGTAAAAACAAAAAATCGTGATCAAGCTCATTCATATTTTCAAAAAAGCAGCAGATGACGTGATAAGTACACAAAACTCACCACCACCTATTTTTATGAGAAAACACCCATAAATCAAACAGACGATTTGTTTTACTTCGGCATCAACTGGTATAGCAAAATCAGAAGTTCTAAATTTTTGGTCCGATGAAGAAAATAATTTCAATAATCTAGAAAAGTATTCTATTATTAAATAAGTTTTTATTCGATACAATACTCTACTTCCATCGTCAGTACCTGTGGAAAGACTTTTTTCATTTGCAACAATGATAAATCAACCAAGAATTCATAAATTATCTGATCAACTATTTGAAAAATGTGTTGCATTAATAGTAAATATTTTATAAAAATGTTATGATTTTTACATTATTTATTATTGATATTATTATATTATTATTATATATGTATACTATTATTATATTATTATTCTTATGAACTAAATTTATTACAATTTCTATGTTTACATTTAGTTTATTATTAAAAAATTATTTTTCCTAAAAAAAATATGTTTTTGTATTGTTAATTGTCATTTTTTTCTATAGTATATAAATATTGCTTACATTAGAATCATTGTTAAATTCATCCCTTATTTATTCATTTTTTACAATATTCTACATATAATCAATAAGTATAATACATATAAAGTGTGCTACAATGATCAATAAACTGCATCTTTTTTACATTTTTATCTCAAAATATAGTTGTTTTCAGTCTAAAATCGTTATTGAAATATCATTAATCATTAATCATTGAAAATTATTCATGATTACAAATTAACATATTTTGTAATCGTAATCCATACTACGATTACATTATGACTTAATCATTTAAAATAATTTGTTATTGTGATTATTGATGACATTAATTTATATAACATCTAAAAATTTAAATCATAATCTTTAATCATTAATCAAATTACGAATTTTCCAACACTGCATACATATATATATATATATATAAATCGTACGAAAAAATTTAAAACGTTCCCATCAATCGTTTACCGGCAGATTTTAATAAAAAAAAAAAAAGAAATAGGTATTATAACCGTTTAAATTAGAAAAAATATTCGAAGCTTTTAAAATAACATTAACATAAATGAGAGGCATAATTGTGATAAGAATATATAATATTTTCTGTGATTAATTTGAAAAAAATAAAATTTCATATTGATATTGATTTTTTAAACTTTAAGTGCCTATAAGATTTTAGGAAATCAGTACTTAGATTTTGTTTATGAATTTAATTTGAATACATTTTTTTATTCTAGATATTCCATTTCATAATCGAAAAAGAAAAAAATTACAAATTTTTAGGATACCAAAATTGATTTATTGTTAATATTTATTGTTGTTTTTTTTATTACTTTATGTATTATATATTATTATTATTATTTTAAATTACCAATGCGACAAAGCTATACTCTTACTGGTAAGTACGAAAAACCTTGAGTGGTATATTTTTTTCAAGGCTTATATGTATATGTGTCCGATATTATTGCAAATAAAATACAGTTTAATGAAACCATATAAACTATTTTGCACGTGTGTTCCCTGTGGGATAAGGAAAATCCGGCGAAGCATTATTTACGATTCGAACGTCATCGATTTGTTATATTAAATATATATTATGGTCATACCAGATAGTCTTCTAGTGGCCAACAGAACGGAATAGACGTTCAGCACGGTAGCTAACAGTCCGTACCATACGGACCACAAACTGTTGAGCTGACAGAAATGTCCTTTACCGCCTGCATAGTTGACGTTTTCAGCCATCACGTCCGATGCGTAATCATCTCTCGTGCGCTTTTGTCCTGCGGAAAGGAAAAAAATATGTCAACACTTTGTTTATATTGAGATGGGAAAAACACCACTATGAATTCATCTTCCGTGTGATGACAAGCAATATGACAAGTCTATTATACAGGGTCTTCTGGAAAAATGGGGGGAAACAAAAAAATGTACAAGATTTTTTTTATTGAAAACATAATTTACATTACATAATACCATTAATAGTCCACATGTTCAAGTGCTAAAAAGAAATTCCGTGATATAGTGTTAATTTGCATTTTGATGATAATTGTCAAGAAAATTAGGATCGTGTTTTTTTTTCAATATTTTTATGATCTTATTGCTACAATTGGTGATTCAACATAATTTGGACTTTGAAAGTGCTGAAAATAATTCGAGCACTGTTTTTGCTGTATAGTAATACCCCATCGACTAATATCATAATATTATTAATAAAAATAATAATAATAATAAAAATAATACACTCTACCGAATATGCGATGTTACGCTGCACTACGTACGAATGTCACCGCACGAGTAATTCTAATATATCACACCCCGTTATTCCACCAGAACGTAAACGTACAATATTATCACATTTATAATACCTCTCCTATGTGTATAATTTACCCATATCGCCGTGGCACACACGTGCTGTGTGGTACGGGAAATTAATTGTGTCGATTACACAGGCGCACGGCTTGCCTTAATAGAAATAATATTTAATTTCGCTTTTTTCTCTCTATTTTCCCTTCCCCATTATATAATTTAATTTTATTCCGTCTCTGAGCACGATGGATAATTTTTTTTTTTTCAGGGTGATTGCCCTTCAAAGTGCATATATTATATACATACCGGATACGTCCGATGCACCAGTTTAGTATTTCCGAAAAGATGCTCGTTCGACCGACGCGACCGAATAGTAATCGAAAAAAATACATAATACCGTTTTTTTTTAATATTATTTTCTGTGAAGACACCACGAATCTTCCTCTAGTTGGATTTTAGATACTAGCCATTTTCGGCAGCAATGATGATAATTTTTAAATACTCGAAATTTAATTAAAAGACAAGGCGGTTATATTCTGTTGGTTAGAGAGAAGCCTTTCAGCCATTGAGTAATGACCACTTTCGTACACCATTTTAGCTATTAATTTTAGCTTTTAAAATTAAGAATATATATATACATATTTTTTTTAAATAAAAATAACAGCGTATCTTTTACATGATGATCGTTGAATGAAGAGTATTAGATGAGAATAAAATGTTATTGTATAAAATTGTTATTTTTAATAAAATCATGTAATATACATAATCATATTTTTCAGTATCATATTATTTAAGGTTTATATTTGCGAATTATTAATCATTATCACTGTTATTTTCATATAAAATAAAATGTTAAAAAATCTTTTACTGATTGACAACATATTGATGTTCGATTTTTCATAAATAATTTAATTTGTATAGTAATCTTCGGTATTTAGAGCTGGTTAATTTTAAGTTCTTAGATATCATTTAAGATATTAATACATTTTTATTAAGTTTATTGGAAAAATTTCAATAATTATCTATTAAAAAAAAACAATAAAAAAAATAATGTTCTAGGTTTTTAAAGTTTAAATTGGTGACCAAAAATGGACCTTACAAAATGACCGGAAAGGGAAAATTTTATTTTGGTCGAAAACTATTTTTTCTGTACTGTTGTACAAGTTCAAACTCGTATTGTCAGTTAATGTGAAACGCATATACCGATAAAAAAACATCCGGTTTGAAGCACGGCGCAGATCGTATTTCTATACGCATGTTTTATATACACGCATCATTTATTCCGGGTGTTAATATAATTATTGTTGTAATACAATAACCCTGTAGTATTTTATTACAATATTGAAACACAAATAATTTCGAATAACCGAAGACTTTGAACTTATTCATGGCTTTCTACAGCCATTTTATGCCACAACGGTAAGAACAAAATATTTACGTTATCACATGTGTATTTCTCGTAGTGTGCGAATAATATGACTTAAATCATTGAGTACGATAAACGTAATATATAACAGCTAAATGCATACGTTTCACGTGAACTTCTATGTGGTATTATACACTTATAACGGTACTCGACAATGAGTGTTACGCGCGTACCACAATTATAATTATAATATTATGGCTCTGGTAGACTTGGGATTTTTTTTTAATATATTATACTAAGTTGAGATTTTATATTTTGTTTTTTTTTTTTTTTTTTGTAACAAGAACTGTTATATTTTAATTGTTTAAGTATACGGCATATACGTGTCTCAAGGGCGAAACGCATTAATTCGTCGAATGCTAATCGTAACGTAATTATTCCACTTTACTATTTATACTACATTTAGTCTCTACACATAAAATTCAACGACTGAGTTACTATACTATTCTTTATAAATACTTGTATGTCATCGTTGAATTCATATCGTATAGTAGAGTGTAAGACTACCATAGTACCAAAGTATTTTACATAGTACGTGCAAATGTTTTGTAAACGATACATAATACATATGCATATCCTTGAGAATTTAATGAAACAAAGTTTTATGTATATTTTAGAATTATTTTCTTGTCAATAATAATAATTGTAATTCAAAATAATTATTATTGTACCTAAAACATGTTTAATGATGTAAGTTACTTTTGTAATTTTTTTACGGTTCATACATTAAGCTTTGCTTCATACAATTTCTGGTGCCGCACTATCATTCAAATAAAAATAAACTATTATTAAAAACAACTAGTTTGTGGCTAGTAAAAAGCTTTTTAATACGTTTGTAATATCTACTGAAAAACTTGTCGTTTTTTTTTTAACATATAATATATGAAAGATGTATTTGTTAAAATATGATACAAAAATATAATTATGAATAAATATTTGGTTATATATACATACCAGTTCATGGAATTATAATATAATATAATGTAATCGCATAATTTTTACAATAGTAATATTTAGACCTACATATTCGATGAATAAAATGTCTCCCTATATTTCACTCGTACACTTTGAGACTTAAGTATAGTATACGTAGTAAACGATACTATTCAAGCATTGTTCAATGAATAGAATAATAATACTCATCATGGTCACGTAAATTGTAAAATAATTAATTACTTCAGTTTGTGTTGGATAATACAGAGCATTTGTTTTCATTCATTGGGATTAACAAGAGCTATTCGGATATAAAGTTTACAATTTGAAGGTCGTTTTAGAAATTTTGTGCGACTTATAGGAATTTCCAATGATACCAATACCAAAACAAAAAAATTTTGGTATAAAAAATCTATATTAAGTTAATGATTGATTGCCGTTCACTGTATTTGATTTTGAATTAATAATATTTAATTCAATTTTTTTTTTTTTTTTAATCTAGTAATAAAATACGATTTTGCCTTAAAAAAAAATTAAAAAAATTGTCATTCGTTATGGTTCGCAGTGTAACTGAATAAAATAGATATTTAGAATATTTTGAATCGAATCATCCATAGTAATTACATCGTTTTTTAACCACGTTGGAATGTAAATTGTTATTTTTTTTTTGTACAGAAAAAACTTTACATTACACCGCTCGGGATCGAATGCCATGCCAATATTAAGAGAAAATTTTTCTAGAAAGAATTGACAATATTCTTTTATCCAAAAATGTTTGTACTATACACTAAATTCAATCGAACCATTTCTGCCATATACCATTGTTTTAAAAAAAATAAATACCCAATAAATTCCATAAAAATAATAAGTTTTTCCCTTATTCTTAAATGTATTGGACATCATATCTTATGCACATCTGAATATATGCTAAGTGAATTTAAATCTAAACTTATATTGTATACAACGGTGATTTAGTAATCATTTAAAAATAATTCCCCACTTGTAATTTGTCGAAAATTCAGATTCTTTTGGATATAAGATAATAAATTATTTATAATGTTTTAGAAAAAATACTCTTTTAACACTTTTTTTTCTACAAGTACACTTATTAAAGTTAATATCCCGAACTAAATATTAGAAGATTTCATTTATATCACACAAGATTAAACAAAAACAAAATTTTCTAAGACTTATTAATAATACTTTTATACAAAAGAAAATTTGTCATTTTATATTTATATTTACAAATTCTTGTAAATCATAAGACGAAAGAACACAAGATTTACAAAAATCACACAATTGAATTTTAATTATAGTTACAAAATATAATAACAAGACAAACTTGAAAATGTAATTTCAACATTTTACGAGTAACATGCTTGTAAAAAAATCATTATTTTAACCGACTCAAAGTTATTTGTTTAAACCGAAAAATAAGCTGTTATAAGAAAAAATACTTTTATAAACACAATGGTGTAACTTATTTGGATACAGTATAATAGATCAGCATAGCTACAATTTATTATTTCTTATTCATCTCTTACTTTTTTTTTTTTATCGGTAGAACCTAAACAATACGTACTTTTTTTACATAATCCAGACCTTGAAATTGCATTTATTTAAACATTTTGGGTACGTGATCGGATATTTAGTAATATTGGCCCATCATCATCATTACCCGCCGACTGAGTTTTTTTCAACATTATCGGTTCAATGCATCCCCACACCTTTAGAATAATAAGTTAAGACTATCATTACCTATTGTCTTTCAAAATAAATAAATAACTACATGTTCATATAGTTAAGAATATTGATTGCCAGGTGGCGTTGTACATTAATTTTAGGGTGAATGAACGACAACTACCCGATTCTCCAAAATCCATTTACCTAATATATGGCATATTATTATTCAAAACATGAAAAAATAATAATAATAATCATAATACAATTTTGTTCGGAATTTGATTTACAAATTATGAAACGTGATTTCTTTTATTCCTTTTTCATCAGGAAAGTAGTAAGGAATCTCGTTTACAAAACGTATATCACAAATTAAAAATGTGTGATGATTATTCCAAGAAAAGCCAGTGGTGATAGATGTAATGGAATATATTA